AACTTCTATCGCAATATAAATGATGAATCAAAGCGAGGTTAATATGTTATTCAACCTGGAAGTCGAACTTTGGGACAGTGCGGAATACTCCTGAAAAGGTGTTTTCACGGCTTAGCATCCCTTCAGTGCAGTGAAACCACCTTTGAAAAAATATTACAATCGGGCTAATTACAGTGTACTAGAATAAGGGTAGTGGGCTCAGACGCATGTGTCGTCCATGCTGGCAGTGATTTTTGCCCGTACACGAAAAAAAAAAACATGCGCACGCTGGAATCCCATGCGCTCTGCTGTCTGCCGTGGTCTCCCCCGCCATCAGAATCCACGCCCTCTTAGCGGTAGCCGGGTGCTTGAGACGATACTCATTCATTTTGATGGGAAGCATGGCGATTGGGACGGCCGGAGAGGAAAACGCTGCGCGCGCGCCATCTCGGAGGCCATGTATTGCCTGAGACACCTCATGTTGCCTCCGAGTGATGGTGCCACAAGCATTTCTTCTTGAAAGGCGATGTGATTTTTACAAGTCTTTTGCCTACGCTAAGCGGCCGTTGAGGGGCTATTTCGACGTACTGCGTTATATTGAAGCAGCTCTTACTGTCAATATGGTCAGAATTATGGCCATACATATTCGCATTTCTTGATAAGAAATACAATAGAAACACGTTGCCGCTGTGATTGCAGCACTGGAGTGAGAGATGTCGGCTGCCTTCCCGAGAGCCGCAATTCAGTGATGGCTCCTCCCCAAAGTAATAAGGTTATAATTTGGAGAAGCGCGATTTTCAAATATGTGTATGCATAGCTCTATCAGGCATTTTCGAATGTTTTATGTGCCTTGAACGCACGCTCAACGTCTGCTAGGGTTTGGCGGTGACTGTAGGCCACACTCGACGGAACTCGCCAGTGAAGTTGCAGAGATTAGTGTGCTTTTCGTGCAAGAAAATGCTTTCCCTGCATGTAGACCTGCATGTTTTCAGGAAAATAATAAAAGGCATCCACAACATCCATTTTATTTGTCGAAAGTTAATGTCTTGAAATTTCAAACAAGCACAACTCTAGCTGTTTAGGTCAAAATAGTTGCATCAGAGTACAGTTTTCTTGCGGGTGTATGCATTGCCTTATGTAAACGTACCATAACTCTATTTTAAAGTTTGACTTTTACTTTGTGCAATTTATTGCAGAAAATTACACACAAGACATCCACCAACCACAATAATTCACTCTAAGAACTGTTTAGAATCAAGAAATATTGCAAGCTTATACGTTTGAAAATGGTGTGGCCATACACAATGTTACTTTTCATTAACATATTTACATAACAACAACATATACACACATCTCAGCTCCAACACCAAGTTCGAAGGCATCTTCAATTTTTGGGGGAGGCTTTCTGCTTCTTCCTGTGACTGCAAACGATGTTGTCCATCAAGTTCATATATACCTTGGAGTGGGCATCATGAGGCCGGTTGCAGAAAAACGTGTCAACTTTTCTCGGCACCACAGTCGCTGCTTCGCATAATGTACAAGTGCAATGAAGACCGTACCCATTCAGCAAAATAATGCTTTGTCAAGCACTTGGAAGGTGTATTGAAGTGCCATAAAAACTTCAAATCGTCCCATACCTGATCTGAGCTGGCTGCTTCTTGTGCTTATTTTCTAGTGCAATATGTATATCTGCGTCATTCAGAGATCACTGGCCATTCAGATCATTTTTGGCTGATGGCGCTTCCGCGGTAAGACATTTTGCTGCTGCTGGTCCTTTGATCACTTTCTTGTTTTCTTTTGCTCCTGTACTTGAGAGTTGTTTTACTAAGGTACACGAGGGGATTTGAAAGAATCGTCAGAACAGCGCCTTCCAGCAGTGTCGATCTTCCATGATAAATATGTACCTTTTTGCCGTCAATGATATGAGTGTAGTCCCTGATGAAAAATGCGGCCAAAAATGCCATTCCTCTTCCATGTCTTCTTTATTTGTCTTGAGGGACGTTGAAAAACGATGCTTTCAACATGACTTTCACACGGCTCGAACCAGTCGTGCACCGGGAACACGAAACAGTGATTGTGCCGCTCAGTAGGCATACTTACTTAGCATAAGTAAGGGGGAAATGAATACCGCAGTGAATTGTTATTGCAAACCACGAGATATCTCGATAACAACAAAAACCAGTAGACTTGCAGCCTCACTTAAAGGGTGCGCAGCAAGAGTCTGGCAGTGGCAGGAGGAGCGGGTGCGCGAGGCTTCGAGAGAAAACTGCAGCAGTGCCCCTTGAAGCTCCCTGTCCTGGTGACATTTGCGTCTTCAGAGCGCCTCATGGAGAGCATAGGGCAGAGAGCACACTACCCCCTTCTAGTACACTGTACTAATATACACCTAAACAGGTGCTTTTCTGTTTAGCACCCCTCCACTGCAGTGAAACCACCTTCACAGGCGGTTAGACGCGGACTAATATACACGTATTCGTTCATTTCGAACACTTTGAAATTTTCAACAATCTAAATTCGAATCGAAGCAAATTCAAATACAGGAATAGTTGTTCAAATATTTGAAGCATTTGAATATTCGCACAGGCCAAGAAAGCACCATATGATAAAATGTGCACTTTTGTTCTATAAACATTGCAAGCAACTACAAAGCACGCAGCAAGTTTTTTTGGGTGGTGAAAATAATTACAGTGATGATGAGTGCTTTATAGAAGATGAAGCTTTTGACTTCGGTGATTTGCCCAGCTGCAGCAGAAGAGATGAGCCAAATAATAGGGCACAGGCCCGCCACAGTGGTCTAGTGGCTAAGGTACTCGGCTACTGACCCGCAGGTCGCGGGATCGAATGCCGGCTGTGGCGGCTGCATTTCCGATGGAGGCGAAAATGTTGTAGGCCCGTGTACTCAGGTTCAGGTGCACGTAAAAGAACCCCAGGTGGCCAAAATTTCCCGAGCCCTCCACTACGGCATCTCTCATAATCATATGGTGGTTTTGGGACGTTAAACCCCACAAATCAATCAAATCATAGGGCACACTATATTTACACTTTTTTTTTTCTGGGTCCAGTAGAAAAGTTAGATATTCCGGGTACAATATAATTAAAAAAAAAGCAAGAAAGAAATGAAAGTTGAAAAAAAAAGTTCAGCATTTGTAACATTAAAAAAAATTCGTATTGACAAAAGCAGTAGTGAACAACTGATGCAAAAATTTTACTTCTAGTTTCCTCTGTTGTAACAAGTAGCTAGTGATCCATTTATGTTTTCTTGAGTGCACGAAGGTTAATTATTTGGGGACCCAGTCGTAGTTTCGGTTTCATGGAGCAGTGAGACAGGTGGTATTAAGCGGGGGTTTCCGTGTAAACACAACATTAACAAAAAAGTCAGCACCCTCTAGAGAACTCTTTTAAAAAAAAGGCTCCCTGGTGCTGGTGCTGCCATAACCCCTTCTGGTTAAAGGCAAATATGCGCAATGCCCTGAAAATGCATTGTCAACTGTGTGCTGCCATGTAAGTCCACACAGGAGGTGTTCCCTCTCTCCTTTGGAAAGGTTTGCTAGGAGAGACCGCTGCCAGGAGAGAGGCATGGTAGCCAACAAAAAGGATCCCATGGTATAGATGGCTGATGATTATTTACATTGCCAGAAACACGCATTAACAGGACAGAAGCCTCTCATGTTGATTTGTTTACCTTTACCACTTTTTATAACATCCTAACACTTATACCAGCATGCTGTCACAACACTGATGCCTGCATATTGGTTTTTAGTGAGGTGCAGTGCTTCACAGGTGCAACGGTTTCAACTACATATAAGAAGACGCTTCTGGTAGAACCAATAAAAAAGTGGCGAGTATTATTCAAGCCAATCTGTGTGAGTTCAAATAGGCTGTGAAAATCTGATGAAGCATTAAGATGAGGAAACAAATAATGCTGGAATCTGCCATGGTGGGCTAGTGGTTGTGATGCTTGACTGCTGACCCATAGGTCTCGGGATCGAATATCGTCCGCACTTTCGATGGAGGCAAAAATGCTTGAGGCCTGTGTACTCAGATGTAGGTGCACATTAAAGAACACCAGGGTCAAAATTTCCCGAGCGCTCCACTGTGGCATCTCTTATAATCATATGGTAGTTTTGGGACATTAACCCCAACAATTATTATTAACAAATAACATTGTGCCTGAGTGTCTCCATCCTCGAACAAGCACAGCCATAAGGTTGCTTGTGGCACAACTGCAACGGCTCTACAGTAGTTCCTGCCAAATTTAAGCACACAAAGCTGCATTGTTTACTACACTTTTTTGTTGATGAAGTAATTGGTTTGGTGAAATTGATTACTCAAGAAAGCAACTAAATTGACCATTTGCAGAAATCAGCAAGGTGGCTTTCCGGGAAGGTTCTTTTCCAACCAAAAGAAGAAAAAGACTAGTGGTCAAACAGCTTTTCTCGCTCCCTGTGCTTTTAACACTCCGATTCCAGTGAAGGCACGTGAGTGGGACACAACAATTATTGTTTGGTTTCCCACCTTGAACGAACCCTCAGATCGCATGGTGGGCGAGGCACCTGTCGTTCGCAAAGAAGGGAGTGAGTGAACGCAAAAACACGATGAGTGAGAAAAGCAGTCTGTGAACGAGACCTTTCGGTTGGAAAATGACTTTGCTAGAAAGCCACCTTGTAGATTTTGTGCAAATGGTGAATTACAGCAAGAGTTACAGGCAAGAACACTAAACTGTTAATTACAAAATCAAGTAAAATATTAACAGATATTAACAGATTACAAATGGCCCATGAAGTGTTATTTGTTACAATTCTGCTCTTACACATTCGAACGTACAGCGTGCACTTTAACAGGCAGTTTTTTCAAGAAGCTCTGGAATGCTTACGGGTATGTTTACGATCATTTAAGTGTTATTTTTGCTGATCACAGATCGAGATCAATATGTCAACGGCGCCATAAAAAAACATCTAGCGTTCATTTGGCAACAAAAATACAGCGTGAAATCTGGGAATAGGAGACCAGTGTACACATACCGGCTGGATCGCTGCCCGGCATCTCCTTCGGCGTTGATACGTATCACGTCACCCAAAGAACGTTTTTCTTCTTGAGCTGGAGCTACTTGTGCTGCTGGCTGCGACCTAGGGGCTGCGCCACCCTCGTGCGCTGAAATGGATAGCATAGGCGATCAGCGAAACGGTACGCGCGCAAGATTCGCACGGTTTGCATTACCCTGTTGCTTGCGTTCCCGCTTCTGCTGCAACTGAATTTTTTTCTGCTTGGCGCTAAACGGCACCTTCCTGGATCCTTGCGGCATGCTTGACCACGGGCGACAGCTTGTGCGCACTTCAAAGCTGACCGCGTTTCACGGTCAGAGTGGCAGCGCCGAATAGATCGGTCTAAATGAAAAACGAGATGTGCTTGACACAATTATGACTGCTGCAAATAAATCGCCATGACTTCAATGAAATAAGCGGCACAAAAATTGACCCTATTGCATTCTCATGGCACGCACCTACCTAAGGCTACCTTTCACGGATGCTACCTTTAAACGGTTTCGTTTATGGTGGAAAACGGGGGAAAACGTGCACATAAAAAGTCAGCCACGCGTAAGAGAATAAAAGGAAAGCGAAGAGCCGCAAGATTTACCTTTTAAATTTTAATTTATTTTGTGTATTATTGTTCTTTATTATGGCAGCAATTTAAAATTGACACAAATAATTCCGCTAACGCTGGCTGCTGTTTGTTGTTGTTGTGCTGCTTGTTATCGCTTGTGGTCGTAAAATAAGTCAGACCGTGATACGCAAACATTGTATTAATATTAAGCACAACATCACTTTATTTTTTATTAAAAGTTAGTCGAAAATAGCCTAAAAATTTTTCAGCTTGTAATCACATGAAAGAAAGTAGGTGACAAAATACGCATCGCATGCAGCCATCTTGAAGAGGACTTCAGCGAAAAGTGTCGTAAAGCTGAAGTGAGTAGCGCTTTGTTGCTTGGCCCTTGTGATTTGGCTTTTACCCACTTCGGGGAATTGTTCTCGCACAGTTCTCTGCATTCACGTCATGGAGAAAGGAATATATATAGGCACCACATACTAACCATAGAGAGCTGCGTTCCTCGCCTTAGGGGTTGTACCAGAGGGCTTTACCAGAGAACACCTGCTTTACGCCCTTCCCCGTCCCAAGTTTGCTGACACATACCGTAAGGGGCACTCGGAAAATAGACCCGCACTGCATGACTGCATGGCGGTGCATGACTGCATGGCGGTGCATAGATGACTGCATGGCGGTGCATACGCGGGGGAGGTCGGACGTGTTTTTGGAGAGCTCCGGAATGACAGCTACAGATAAGTGTTTTTGCATGTTTCCAGCTTGCCTCTGTATGTAGCGTTATGAGAACGTAAGGCGCTAGCGTAAAGCTTGATTAGGTCTAGTACGGTGTACGTTTTTTTTTTAGTATTCTGTACTGTCTTTTTTTTTTTTGCTCCAGCCACCACGTGGCTGGAAGCCACCACGTGGCTGAGGCCTGCGCGTAGACCGACCACGTGCATGCGCAGGTGCTGTGAAGTGTAGCGTATTTATGTAGTATTGTGGTTCTTTTTGGCTTAGACCAGTGTATTTTAGTACAGTTTTCTAACACGTGGGCATCGATAAACTGAGCTAGCCATGGTCAAAAAGACCGTAAAGTGTCCAGAGTGCGGGGTAGGGAGGAAGGTGGAAATTAGTGCGGAAGAGAAAGCAGAAGATGACGCCAAGTGTAGACAGTGCGAGTTCGAGGAGAAAATGAAAAATATGATGGCGGTCCAGAGTGGGCTCATCGAGAAAATCGCAGAGCTGGAGAATGCATTGGCGAAGGAGCGAGAGAAAACGTCAGCCATGGAGGAAAGGCTCCGGGCAGCCGAGAAGGGCCTATCGAAGGTCGTGAAGGGGAACGAAGACGCAGGTGACGGCGGAAGCATTATGGCGACGACCCCCCGTGCGGGAGAGATGAGGGAAACAGGCATGACAAAGGCAGATACATTGGCCACAGGGCCCAGCTACCGGGAAGTAGTTTTGAGGGAGGGAGGGAGCAAACCAGCAGCCGTGACTCACGCTAGTCACCTAGTCAGCAGCCAGGTGCAGGTTTCAGAAGGAATGTCTGAACAGGTCATCATCGCCGGTGACTCAAATTTAGTCCGATGCGCAGCGGCAATCAAAGAAAGGGTGAAAGGCGACAAGAGAGTTGCGATAGGGACGTTCCCAGGACAAACGCTGGGGACAGTAATGAGGCAAGCGGGTGAGCAACTCGCAGCTAAAGCTAACAATCGTAACCTCGTTGTAATTGCGGGAGGGTTAAATGACGTCCTGAAAAAAGAATCGTCAGGACTAGCGACGACCTTGGCGAAAGGGGTGGATGACATGCGCACCGTGTCCCCCCAGGTGCAAATTGTAGTATGCACAGTACCGGAAGTACCAGTACGCAACGTCAACCTGCAAAGAGCGGTTGTCGACGCAAACAAAGAGATATGGCGAATTAGTCGAGAGGAGGATTTCGAGGTAGTGGATTTAAACAGGGAAGTGCACAGGTGGGGTGGATTCCAAAGAGACAAGATTCATTTCGATAAGAGGCTTGGACACGAGGTGGGCTGGCGACTGGCAGGACACGCAGTAGCTTTTTTGGGGGGCTCACGGGCCCTTCGGAGTCCGGGGTAGCTCGTAACAGGGAAAACAACCAGGAGGACGCTTTGACAGGTAGAATTGCGAAAAACCAGAAAAAAGGTAAAAGAAAAAGGAAAAAGGCGCGTGTTGCAATTAGTTACATAAACATGCAGGGTGGCAGAAAGAAGGCAAAATGGTTAGAGATTGAGGAGCAGTTAAACAAAGAACAGATAGGCGTGTATGCGGTTACAGAAACACACCTTAGAGACTTGGAAGAGCCACCACATATTAAAAATTATGTTTGGGAAGGGTGTAACAGGACCATATCGGAAAGGAAAGGTGGGGGTGTAGGAATGCTAATTCACCGCGGAGCCAAATGGGTTAGAGTGAAACAGACGTGTTCAGAGCACCTCTGGGTTCTGGGCACAGTAGGTGGAAAGGAAACGTGGCTAGGGGTAGCCTACTTGTGGACGGGGAATAACTGCAGAGAAAAGAATCAGGAGATAGTGGATTGCATGAGTGCGGATATTAAGGAATTTGGTAATGGGGCCGAAATCATCCTTCTAGGGGACATGAATGCCCACATACATGACCTTGACGGATATTCAGACTCCAATGGGAAGTTATTACTAGATCTTTGCGAGCAACATAGTCTGTAGATAGTTAACACGGGGCCTAAATGTGACGGCCAGATCACATGGGAAGTCGGAAACAAGCAATCAAGTATTGATTATTGTCTCATGACTGAAGGAATTTACCACAAACTGACAGAAATGAGGATAGACGAGGAAGGCATTAACAGCTTGGGTAGTGATCATAAACGAATAACATTACAAATGGGATACAAAACTAAAAATATGAGCATGGAATCAAAGTCTGGCAGCTCGTATTTAAATGACAAACAAATAATAAATATAGCCGCAAGAGTCGAGGAAGAAGTAGGCGAAATACCAGGCAAGGACTGGGAGTATAGTGAGCTGTTACATCTAATGACGAAGGAGATAGGGAAAGAGAAGAAAACTGTCTGCTGGAAAGGAAAAAGGAAGCCAAAAAGTTGGTGGAACAAGGAAATCCGGGAGGCGATCGAGAAGCGACGCGAAGCATCACGGGAGCATAGAAAGGCAAAAAAGGAGAAGCGGCCGCAGGACGAAGTCAAAAAAATATGGGAAATATATTTGGAGAAAAAATCCCTTGTACAGAAATTGGTAGAGGCAAAAATTAAAGGTGAAAGTGAACGCTGGATGACAGAGATACACGAAAAAAAGGAGGTCGCGCCTAGGATTTTTTGGAGCCACATAAAGGCGCTAGGTAGGAAGTCTGTCACAACGCAACAACATATTCTAGATGAAGGAGGAAATCAATTGGAAGGGTACGAAGCGCTAGGTTACATCCAAAAGGTAACAGCCGATTCGTTTCAAAAGAGCGTCCAGGGGATCTCCCCGGTGAGTAAAAGTGTGGCGGAGAAAGCAACAGAGGAAGAGCTAGTACTTGATAATTTCAACTGGAAAAAGGCCGAAGGAAAAATTCCAAAGCGCACTGCCGCGGGTTTAGATGGGATTCCCGTTAGCCTCATTAACGAACTAGGACATAACACTAAAGAAGCATTGTTAAAAGCAGTAGAAAAAAGCTTAAAGGACGGACAAATACCGGACAGTTGGCGACAAAGTAGAATGAACTTAATCTATAAAGGCAAGGGAGAAAAGGACAAGATTCGCTCGTATAGACCACTAACCATTACATCGGTACTATACAGGTTGGCGATGCAAGCAGTAAAAATGAAAATAGAAACATGGGCCGAACATAACGATATTTTGGGAGAACTTCAGAACGGATTTCGAGTCGACAGGCGGTTAGACGATAACCTGTTTGTTCTCACTCAGTGTATAGAAATATCTAAAATAGAGAATAGGCCCTTGTACGTGGCTTTTCTAGACATCACTGGGGCATACGACAACGTTAATCAGGAAATTTTGTGGGATATATTGAAAGGAATGGGCATGGGCGACGACTGTATACAGCTTTTGAGGGAGATATACCGAGAAAATACAGTTTGCATAGAGTGGGAAGGAATGCGTAGCAAAGAGAACGTTGAGGTTAGCAGGGGTCTGAGACAGGGATGTCCTTTGTCCCCACTGTTATTCATGCTGTACATGGTGAGTATGGAAAAAGCGCTAGAAGGTAGCAACATTGGTTTTAATCTGTCACACAAACAGGGCGGCATGATGATTGAGCAGAAGCTTCCAGGTTTATTTTATGCGGACGATATCGTCTTATTTGCGGACAGTCGAGATGATATACAGCAGCTGGCGAATATATGCGGAAGGGAAGGTGAAGCTCTTGGACTAGGATTCAGTGTAACGAAGTGTGGTTTGATGGTATTCAATGATCCCTGTGATCAGACGGTGTCCATACAAGGCCAAGAAATACCGAGGGTAAGTGAATACAAGTACCTTGGAGTATGGGTAAATGAGAGTGATAGATACATGGAGGTACAGGAAAAAGCCTCGGCAGCAAAAGGAAAGAGGAATGCGGCAATAATGAAGCACAGAGCGTTGTGGGGATACAATAGGTATGAGGTGCTTCGAGGTCTGTGGAAGGGTGTAATGGTTCCAGGGCTTACTTTTGGGAACTCAGTGGTGTGCATGAGGGCAGAGGTGCAATCGGGAATGGATGTAAATCAAAGGACTGTGGGACGCCTCGCGTTGGGTGCTCACGGGAAGACGACAAACGAGGCTGTAAAGGGCGATATGGGGTGGGCAGGTTTTGAGGCGAGGGAAGCGCAGAGCAAAATAAGGTTCGAAGAAAGGCTAAGAAATATGAAGGAGAGTAGATGGGCAGAGAAGGTGTTCCGTTATTTGTATAGGAAGAGCGTGGACACACAGTGGAGAAAAAGAACTAGAAGACTCACTAGTAAATATACGGCTGGTATTGTGAGCCATATGTCAACAAAGAGCGTTAAGGGAAAAGTCAGGGAGGCGGAAAGGATTTACTGGATGGCAGCTATGGAAAAAAAACCGGCTTTGAGTAACTACCGAAAGGGCAAAAATGAAATAAGGAGGGAGGCATTTTACGATAATTCAAGGGGAAGCGCTTTACTGTTTGAAGCGAGATCGGGTTGCCTTAGAACGCGTAGTTATAAAGCAAGATTCAGTAAAGAAGAAGAACAATGCACATGCTGCGGGAAAGATAAGGAAACGGCGGAGCATGTTCTGATTGAATGTGGATATATCCACCCAGGTGTACGTTTGGGCACGAGCCTACAGGAAGCCTTGGGTTTTAGGGACAACAATGGAAAGCTGAACACACCCGCGATTGAAATAAGTAAGAGACGGTTAGAGTATTGGTGGCAGAAAATTAGAGAGAAAGGACAAAAATAAATATTGGAAAAATAAAATATGGACAGTGTGCCGTAAATGGCAGAGAACTTAGGCTGAAAATTTACCTTTTTTCCATTAAGATAGAATTTATCGAAGTAGAGGCATTAGGCCAACATAAAAAAAAGGAAAAAAAGTTTTTTTTTTTTTTGTCGAGCCTGGTGGCATACTTGTCACCACCCCGTTATAAAGGGGACGCTCATAGCATCCATCCATCCATCCGCACACGCGTGCCCCGTGTAGCCCGGCCACAATCCACCCACTCGTGCAGGGAGGGAGACGCGCGCGTCGCATTCGATTTTCGCCATCCTCCGTGATTTTCACAGACACCGTCTCAATGTTGCTGTACTAATCCGCTAGAGTCAGACTTTGCGTTTCAACAAAGAAGTGACTTATGCGCCACAATAGACAAGGATGGATCAAGTGGCACAATGGCTCCATTTTCACAACGAGAGTGGGAAAGGGCTGAGAAGAGGGTTTCTAGAAGTACATCAACAGGCCCAGATGGCATTCCAATTATGCTGATAAAAACATTTGGTCCGAAGTCTAAACAGACTTTGCAAAATAGCAGGCAGTGGGCAAAATAATAATCGATGGAGAAGTTCCCGATGAATGGAAACTTAGCAGGATGAGCATGATCTATAAAGGAAAAGGGGACAAAGCTGACATAAACAACTACCATCCTATAACAGTGACATCAGTGGTCTACAGGCTGGTGATGCAGATTATAATGGAAAGACTGCAGGCATGGATAGAGAATGAGGGGGTGCCAGGGGAACTGCAGAATGGGTTTCGGAAACACAGGAGGTTGGAAGACAATGTTCTCACTGACGCAGTGCATCTAAATACCAGAAAAGGAACACAGGCCCCTGTGGCTAGCATTTCTGGATATCAAGGGAGCGTACGATAGCGTGGTTCAAGAGGAATCGTGGGGAATACTGGACACAATAGGAGTGGAAGATGGAGTCAATAATCTTTTAAAGAATATCTATACAGGTAACAAGGTAATTATATAAAGTGGGAAAAACAGGTAGCCAAGCCTGCAGAGGTAAAACGGGGGCTTAGGCAGGGGTGTCCCCTGTCGCCCTTATTATTCATGATGTACCTACAAGGATTGGAGGCCAAATTAGAGGGAAGTAAACTGGGCTTCAACCTCTCTTTCATCAAACAAGGAAAACTCATTGAACAGGCACTACCAGCATTGATGTACGCAGATGATGTAGTGCTATAATGGCCGACAACAAGGAAGATTTGCATAGATTGATGGGCATCTGCGGTAATGAGGGAGATAGGCTAGATTTCAGGTTCAGTAAGAAAAAATGAGCAGTCATGATTTTTAATGATAATGAAGGTAGTGAGTCTAGGATACAGGAGATCACGCTAGAGATAACAGATAAATACAAATATCTGGATGTATATGCAATGGGACCGAGTACCTAAGGGAACACGAAATATACGTAACGACGAAAGGTAACAGGAATGCAGCAGTGATGAAAAATAGGACACTGTGGAATTACAATAGGTAGGATGTTGTGAGAGGAATGTGTAAAGGGGTCATGGTTCTGGGTCTGACGTTCAGCAATGTGGTCTTGTGCATGATATTAGAAATTCAAGAAAGATTAGAAATTAAGCTACGTGGAATAGGTAGGCTTGCTTTAGGAGCTCTCGGGAATACACCAAATCAGGGAGTACAAGGTGATATGGGATGTACTTCTTTTGAGGGCAGGGATGCTAGCAGCAAGATAAAATTTGAGAAGCGATTGATTGAAATGGGGGAGGAGCGTTGGGCTAGGAAGGTTTTCAGCTACTTGTACATGAAGAATGTCGATACAAAATGGAGGGAGCGAACCAGAAAATTGACGGGTAAATACTTAGAAAACAGCAGGGGGCCAAACCAAAAAGAACTATCAGTTATGAAGTTATGAAGTCTATCAGTTAAGAAGAAGGCGAAGAAAACGGAGACTGACATGTCAAGAATTGGCATGATTAAGAAGTCCGCACTAGAGATCTATCGAACTTTAAGCAGGAAATTGCCAAGGAAAGGATCTATGGTAGTACTCGGGGTAGTTCTCTACTGTTTGAGGCACGGAGGAAGGAAAAGGTGGAAGGGGTAGACAAAGTATGCAGTGCGTGTGGAGAGGAAGAAGAAACTGCCGAACACTTGATAATGTTCTGTAAAGGGCTTCACCCTATAATTCAGGATGATGGTGCAGAGTTTTTCAAAGCACTGGGGTTTAGGGACAGCGATGGCAAAATAGACTTCAAGCGGGTAGACTTAACTAGAAGGAGGTTATCTGATTGGTGGCTAAAGTCAAGGCAGGAGTGAAAATTAAACCCTTCACTGCGAAGTACGAATCCTCAGCTTCATTATTTAAAGAAAAAAAAAGAAGATAAATGTAATGGTTAGTTCACTAAGTATTACGGCTAGGTGACGTTAGCCGCCGCCCGATCTAAAGGGTACAGTCACATCCATCCATCCATTCATCCATTCTAAAACAAAGGAAAGAAAGGGTGTGGCAGTTGTTTTCCTTCTCATGCGGCAGGCATCCTAATAGAGAAGGCGTTGCTGTGGGCAACGCCTTTTTTAAACAATGCCTGGGGAATGGCTCGCGCTCCCGGTGGAGTTGGCCTGCCTTCAGTTTTGAGCAAGCGCCACGCAGTGGCGCTCGCGACCAATACTATTATTACGGCAGCGGGCGGTACCAGCCAACGTTTCTAGACCTAGTCTAGAAACGTTAGTATCAGCTAAGTGTTCTCCATCTGCGGCCCATAGGGGCGCGTCAGTTGAGAGTTGTTCAAGATCTGCAACTGTGCACTGCTGTTTCGGAGGCTATGCAAAGTGTTGCGTTGTTGCACCATCCGCCACAAGTGACGCTAGCGACCAAGAACATTTTCAAATTGAAAGAAAGTAAGGATGTGACAGCTGTTTTTTTGCTCATGCGGCAGGCATCTTCCTAAAGGAGGCGTTGCCGTGAGAAACAAACCTTAGCCAGTGTCAAGCCGTTTAGAGTGTCCTCTACATGGCCAACAAAAGCCACAATAAACCTAAACCAGTAGGTGTTCTGTGCCTGAACTCAGTAGCATACAGCAGTCGTCGCTTCCGTGTTGCCCATCGTATGCCCGCATGGCTTTGCGCTCCCATACCGTTTCCTATGTCAGGCTTTGGCTGTTTATTCCGCCATGGAATTTCCTTTTGGCCTAGATTTTTTGGAATACGAGTTTAATGTTATCGAGAATGACCTAAAGGTTAGGGATGCGTCTAAAGTAGGACCATTACGGGATCTGCCCCATGATGAGCAACATAGATTTGTTCGCTCGTCTTCGAGGTGAGCTGGCATAATTTATTTATTACAATACTCGTGTAGGTATGCGACCGAGTGAAGGCTTTGTAACAACGTTCGACCGTCATTATTCAGTTGCCTTATAAGATTTTCTGAGAGCGGTAGTGAGCCCTTAGCGAAGCTTGAAACTAACGTTTCTGATAATTGTCACCGTGCACGGTGTGCAACGTTACCTAAATAAATAGAGAAAAAAAATTGTTGCTATTTCGTGCCGCTGCGTGACACCTCCGCACGCCGCGGAAATAGGCGCGGAGGAGTGACAGCGAGCACATTGCACCGTAGTGGGCGGGTGGCCTGCAGTAACGCTCTACCTTTCCTCGCCAGAGTGCAGGAACGCCTGGGTCTCGTCATCGATGCTTTGGGAAAAGCATCCTCCTTGGTGAGTGGCCCGTGCTTAGTTTAGCTTGCCCTGTGACGCCTGGACGGTCATGGCCGCAGGCGCAGAGCCTGGCAGCGCCGGTGACCACAAGTGACCGCTTGCGAAACTCGGACCACCGCGTCTACCTTCTCGTCGAGCCAAGCGCTCGGGGGTAAGCCATTGGGATGTTTACTCAACGTTTACTGTGTCTAGCTGTGTGCAGCGCATTGTGCCCGATCGTTAGTTTCCCTGTTGTACTGTCGGCAAAGTATGTCGAACCAGTGGCCTTGCTTGAGTATGTAATTGCTATTAATCCTTAATTTCAGTGGCACCGTGCTGGGTCTGCTGAAGGTGGGCTTCAAGCAGCTGTTTCTACGTGATGGGCACGGCCGACTTTGTCAGGTGCGGCCACTTTGCCTCTTGGACTTCTACGTCCACCAGAGTAGGCAGCGCAAGGGCAACGGGAGGCGGCTCTTTGATAGAATGACCCAGGTAAGTGTCCAAGTTTCGTCAGGAAGGTTTTGACACTATCGTGGTCCTCCAGACGGAGAAAATAGCGGCAAACCAGATAGCCATTGATCAGCCCTCGGAGAAGATGCTGGCCTTCATGGAGCGCCACTTTAACCTCACCCACCCTCTGCCTCAGAGCAACCACTTTGCTGTTTTTCCTGGCTTCTTTCAAGCATCTCCAGAGCAGCCCCGCCCTCTTGAACAGGTATGTTTCTTCTAGGTTGCCCACTGCACCAAATGTTGACTGTAGTACAAATGCCTGTTGCTCCAGCTTCTGATGAAATACTCATACTGCATTTTTCAATTACTTCTGTATCTTGTGGCTTAAGCAGTTGTGGAAACTGACCAGTGAAGCTTGTAATTTCTATAACTTTGTGTAATATGAATTTAGCCAATCACTAATTGCCTGTTTTTGCAACTGTGGTCTGCACTCTAGACATAGTCATATATAGTTAAGTTGTTAATTTATGCACACATAGTATGGGTTAAAGGGCCCCTCAATAATTCCTGGAAATACAGAAAATGAGCATGTTATTGTCTTGTTTGGCATTTCCCGTCATTTCAGCTCAATTTGTAGCAGCATCAGTCTGTTCACTTGATATTCAAAAGAAATAATTTCTCGACTGGTTCATATATGAGAAATATCAGTTGTGAATTTTTTCCTAATATGCTCTGCTATGCAGTTGCACACCTGTTCTGCTTTGTCTTGCATTACTGTAGTGCAGGGTCAACTGATTTCACCTCATTTTGTGCATTTGCGATTGCACGAGCAGAGATAACAGCGAGTTGCTGAAAAGTGAAATCCTGATGGCCAAAATGCTTAGTCAGTGTGTTTTATGAAGACAAAGGGGGTGATAAGGTGATAGTGCCGTAACTCTTTTGTTACCACACCTATTCAAATCGACGCATTTGAATTGTCGATTGTGGCATGTTAAATTTGTTTCTTGTGCGCCCAGCACTTTCTAGTAGTCAGTACAGCCACTCAATTTTCAGAACAATTTGAATTTTCCTGTTTTGGCAATATAATAATGATTTTGGACAGACGTTTGCACGAAGCAGTGTGCATGAATTGTTGGAAAAGTGCACTAGGCTGGCACACTTGATAGAAGTGGGTGCCCCTCATGATTATGCTACAGTAACATTGAAGTTCCGTAATAAAAAGAACCTTTGCAAGCCAAATATTGAATTGATGTGTCAGCTTCGCAATTTAACAATGTTGAGCAGTAAGAGTTGCCAGAAATTTATTCCAGCTATTCAACAGAAAGCTGTACCTAGGAGTCAGGGAAAATTTGTTCTACAAAAAATATTTACAAAGTTCCGCCACGAGTTTAGAGTGTCAGTGACCTTCTGTGACAGTTTCCAGCAGCTTTCGTGTTGCTTGCATCGTTATATCAGACAGAGGGTTGCATCTACAGGTTTTCTTGCTTACTTTAATCCAAGTGCCAGCTTAAATAATCTGCACGCCATTGCAATAATCTGAACGCCGAACTATTTATTCCATGTGCCAAACATTTAATTCAAGCGCCAACATATTTAAGCACCAACTCAATGAGGCAGCGTGCCAGTGAGTTTAATCCAATTGCCAATGACTTTAATTCAAAAGCCAGTCAGTTTAATCCATGCACTGGAAACACATAGTCTGCTGCTTTATAGAGTATAAATGTCAGAATAATGTAAACATGAAGTCACAGGAAGAACTTTTTTCTCTCCTATAGATGCTAGCACTTATGAAGTGGGCAGTGCTGTTTCCCCGTAACGTTTTGATGTCATAGCTTCAAAACAAAAAAGCAGTGTGTAATAATTGCATTTATCGGTACTAAATGTATTTTCTCATAGAGTACATGTTAGTCTATGCTTCATGTCTTCTGCATTATTCCGGCTAACCATGTACGTCATCGCATATGCATGGATTCAAGTTGTCTGCTAAGCAGACTGCATTTGGCTACTTATTCACTGAGGCATTCGCAGTCGTCAGCTCAGCCCGGTGACAACGGTGACCGACAGATAATATTCATTCGTTCATGAAATCAGAAACAACCATTTAAAACTGAACTTGCATTCAATTGGGTTCATGTGGAATTAAATTAATAAAAGCATCAAAGGAGATACTCCTGTGTTCATACTCCTGTTTTCACTAGTGTTGCTGAAGCGTGTTTGCTTGAAACACTCATTCATCAAATACACTTAATTTTGTTCGAATGAAAAGATAACAACTAATATGAATGTAAAATATGACTTCTGTTTTCCACATCAGGATCATGAGTTTACGTCTTATGTGCACTGCAGGACGAAAACCTCTTCGAATTATTTTAATTCTCTCTGCCCTGTGAGGGCCCCCTAATTTATTGAGAATGTGCCTGCTTTTGACTCGTCACTGCCCACGGTCAAGTTTTCGATATCTTGGTATGCATTCCAGCACTCCAATAACCATATTATGTATTCCTCATTACATGACCTGGCCCGGTCATGTAATGCTATACAAATCCAAATATGAGCTTTGTTGATGAACACGAAATATTGGTTAAAAGGTTTTTTTTTTGTTGCCATTAAAATGACTCCACCCAGGCCAAACACTCATCTGCAAACTTGTACATAGAAAAGTATAAGCACTCCAAACACGGCTCAAACGAACCACGGCAGTAATTTTTGTTTTCACGAATACTAGTGGCGAATATCAATAAAATTATTTATTCTACTTTGCGACTATTGTATTTTAAAGATGATAGTCTTTCTTGGGGAACTTCGATGGAAAAATTTTGATCTGTCTGTCTGTGTGTCTGTCTGTCTGTCTGTCTGTTTGTCTGCCCTTAACGATACCTCGAATGGCCGACTCCATTCACAGAGCCCACCAATATTGCTCAAGATCCAGCGTTCATACTTGTGCAATTGTCAATTAAAAAGCAATCATTGTACATATCTGAGGTACCATAACAACACGTCCATGTTTTGTATGTGTGCCTTTGTACTAGAGAAGGCACACACAAGTAATTCTATGGACTGTAGCGTTAAACACCCTGCACTGACAGTGCAGCGCGGTGCTCAACAAGGCAAGTGTTACCAACCCTTTGCTTAAATTACACGGTGGTGGCACCTGCTCGTCGCCTTGCATTCTACACCTTGTTATAATGTAGGAACTGCATTTCGAATGCACTGCCGTATTTACGCCCCGTATTGTGCTTTTTGTGCATGGAATAAACTGACTGGCGTCTGAAATACAGTCATTGGCAATCGGATTAAACACGGTGGCACTTGGATTAATTTCACTGGCCTGATTGAGTTGGCACTTGGAATAAATATGTTGGCGCTTGGATTAAATGTTTGGCACATAGATTAAATAGTTTGGCACTCCGATTATTTCAATGGCGTGCAGATTATTTAAGCTGCCACTTGGATTAAAGTGAGCGGGAAAACCTGTAGTGTCACTTGTCGCTCCTATGATGTCGTCTTCACGTCCACATGGGTGCGCACAAGCACTGCAAAACACATGCGCTGCTCAAAACTGTCTTGAAATCCCACCTTAATTGAGTGACAGCAAGCTTAGAGTTTGAGTATGACAGCACCTCAGCTTCAAGTCTTATGGTGACGGTGTTTTCCGTCAGCCTGAGACATCTGCAGTCATTCATGGGTTTTTTTTACACCCCCAAGTTGTCTCCTCCACCGTAAGTGCGTGTAGCGTCTGACCTTCGTGCACAATCTTTAGCTACTGTGGTTATTTGCGTGGTCCACACTTCACTGGGGGGGACCACTGGCACGGGCTGCAGAGCTTTTCCTAACGACAGGAAGGCCCCTGGAGCACATCTTTGCCCTGGCTATGGAGCAGTACAAAAGGTTTTAAAACTGCGCGCGATATTGTCCCTTTATTTCATATGAAATGTGCAAAAATGCAAAGAAATATGCTTGGATGCATATATTGGAACACCAACCTATGCAGAGTGAGGTGGCTCATGGAAAGAGGTGACGCTAAATGAAATAGCGAAGTTCATTGGACATCTCATTTGTAAAGGGATTATTCTCCACATCATGGGTATCCATCTATATTGGAACACTTGGAGACTCTTATAGGAAGACAACAAAAATTTACTGAGAAAAGTGTACGAGTACACTTGTGTCTCACAAAAAACCATGCAATGCTTGAATGGATGGCACGAGCAAAGAAGCCGTACCTCGATTGTAATTTTCTGTCTATGTGAAAAGCAACATTTTAAACAACATTCATTATATTTTATACTGTTTCTGGGTCATTTATCTACAAAATTTATATTCTGAATTTTCTTTGTATTGAACATTTTTGCACATTTAGTGTTTTTTATTGCACTTTTTACCAGCTGGCACCCAGAAATTTCATACTTTTCACATTTTCAACCATTCTAAAATATTTATGTTGTCCTACAACATATATATTTTGGAAAGAGCATATCATTGTGCAAAGTTTGGTATGCTGCAATGTGTGCTGGAGTGCTTTTCAAACAAGCAAAAAGGATCAAGAAAAAGGTCAAGAAAGAAACCGCTTATTTTTCTTTGAACTCTGAGTGGTTTACGTGCACATTAAGGCAAATGGAGGGTGTGAACCTCCTGACGAAGCTTTTACTTCGGCGGAGCAGCGTAGGTAGTGGAATTCACAAGTTATAATTAGTAGAGGAGGCATGTTTTGAGTACACACAGACAATCCTTGAACACAGAGACATTTAAACAACACATTACTAATGCATCAACCTAAATATAATTGTCATTGAATTCACAGTTAACATTTGTTAAACACATCTGGATCAGAAAAAAAAGCATGTTTAATATGAAATATTTATACTATTGCCAAATTGTTGTACAATTTCTAGCTACATTAACAATGTTAAGGTATCTATTACATAAACATATAGTTTCATATTCGATAGTTGTATCCAATAATTTGTCCTGTTTTTTTCAAAACGACTATGGAAGTGTGGCAGAAATATATGAAAATGAAATTTAACAGTCAAAAATTTTTTTATTCCATTCAATTCACCTCTAGCGCTGTTTGCAACTACTATTTCGTCAAAAATGTACATTGTGATAGTTATGCTTCTTTATAGGAGTTTTTAATTTTTATATGCAATGGATAGAATGTTGCCAGTACTAAACTACTACATAGGGCATAAGAGCCGTATAAATATAATATACTGAGTGTTTCACGAAACTTGAATCGTCCTTTAGGACAGTGGTTCTAAAATG